TATAACTACCCTTATGATGACAGTATCAGCGGTATTTTCTTATTAGGAACAGTAAGAGTTGTTTGAATTGTTTTTCTTATCTGAAACAACTCTGCATTGTTTTAAGCTTAGTCAAGCATAATAACCGGAAAACTGCAAAAATCTAATGTACAACAAAACTAAAAGGTGCAAGAGGTTGAAAAGGTTAATTAAAAGTGTAATGATCGCATTTACTGAGACAGTCCAATTAATCACTTTATTCCAGTGGTCATGTGATACAGAAACCATTGCTACAGATAACTGATTTCTAGTGCTGACATACATGATCTGCGTTCATTAAAATGTGTATTTTTCTACAAATGGAAACTTAAGTTTTTATTTTAAGTGGCTTTTATTTATTTGAAGCTATTTCAAAATAGTAGCTGATGTTTAACCCTGTGTCCTCACATAATACTTTCTCCAGCTAAACTCCTTGCAGTGTGGGAGCATTGCCCCCTTGATACTTGTAGCCTTATAGCCCCATGGGAGGTTTGCTTACAGCTTAATGGGGTTGTAGGTATAGAAGAAATAAAGCACTAGAAATACATCATTAGTAATGTGATCTCTCTGAAACAGTGTATGTGACCAACAAAGTGAATTCTCAAGTGTCAACAAGCACATCTAAATGTAATTTTTACCACGTCAACTGGAAAAAGGCAAAAAGAACCTTGAAGGATCAATTACAAGGGTCATAACCTTGTATTATCTGATTTGCTATAATATTCACATAAGTTTTATTGGAATGGAACATAAATTTGAAAAATAGTGAGATTAGAAAGGATTGCAATGCTAGAGCAAAGAGCTAGAAGCATTCTCCTGGTTTATTTTGCTGGGGCAGCACTTTAGAGGGAGCCCATTATAAGCAGGAGAACAGTAGTTATGTTAACACGGTAATTAATCAAGTCTGAGGAAAAGAGGAAACAAGTTGTGAATTCAATTCTGCAGTAATAAAAAGAAATGCTGAAAGTTGCCCTGTAAATTGGCATGACTTTGGTAAACAGTCCCTCACTGTGTTTTGAGAACTTGCATGCAGTAAATCACTTCTCATGGCAACCGTGTAGGTTTGATATTTTCACATATTTTCATTATTTACTCTGTATTTTTATGTGTGCCAATTTCTTCTCAATTCTTTTGACGTAGTATTTAGCTAATAATAAAATACTGAACTGTATAACATGAGAGCATATGCAGAAACACATTTCCACTTTGAATATTTCAAGTGAAAATTAATTAGAACAACTCAGCTGAAACTGTGGCGATAGCCTTCCACATCACAAAACCAGCCTCTGACTCAGTACAGAGCATGAATTGTACATGGAATAACTGAGATCTCTCCCTCAGAAAAAAATATATTCTGTCTATGGTCCCAGTCATGCATAATCCATCCCTAATGCAAGTGCAGTGTAGATACGTTAAAATGACCTTTACACCCTAAAACTCTTTAGGGTAGAACTGAAATTGTTGGTGCAGTAATGCGAGAAACAGTGACTGGATCAGTTTACAACAATTGGAAGTTTCTTTGTTTAGCAGCCTCTGATTTTATTCATACATTTCTGCCTCCTACGTGAAATACCTTGCACAGGAGAAGTAAAAGTAGCATTAAAGAACAAAATTCTTGAACTTAGATTATTGAAAATTCAGAATAACTCTAGTGAATAAAATGGATTTCACTATGCTGGTGTGAATATAAAGCAAAACTGCTATCCTCAGCTCCATGTGGAAAATTAGGGACCCTGGCATAACCTTTCTTTAGATTTGTAGCAGAAATGAAAGGTGATAGATCAGGATATTTGTGTGGGTGAAGACAGAAAGCTTTTCAGCTGTAGACCACGATGTTGTTAACACTGGGGAGCAGGGTTTCCTCTCCCTCCCTGCTCTCATAGAACAAAATGTAAATCACTGTGGGGTTGCAAGTCTTTCCTCTTACATAACCTGTAAGTTGAGCAGATGTCCCTCAGCCAACCCACAGGGCTTCAGCCACCTCTTGAGTTTTCTGCTCAGCCTTCCTCCATTCCTCCCTAGAAAAGACTGAAAGTACCAAAGGAAATCTTAAGACATCATTTCTCCCCCTTTTCATCAATGCATATCCAGCACAGGAGTTTTCTCTTGCGGTCTTTATCTGTAATGTCTATTAAATGCACCAGGAAATGGTGAACTAAAGGTATCCGGATCTAACTCTAAACAGAGACGAGAGTCCTGCTAAGTGTTAGAGGCCAGATCCAGTGGTGAACTTGGGCAATGCAAAATGCAGCACGCAGGGCGTGTGTCCCTCTTTGTAGAAATGAACATCCAGAAACAGACCAAGAGGTGGATTAAACATGTAAAGTCGGGAGCCTCTGCTTCCAGGTGATGTCTAAAGATGCCCAGAATCCTTATAAAGTGCACAAGGAATACTGTGGAAAAAAAAAACCAAACAAAAAACCCCAAACACCCAATAAAAAACCCTGCACAATAAATCTCTAGATGGAGAATAAGAAATACAGAAACAGATTTGTTGGAAGACTTTGGAGCCGAGGAGCCAATTTTAGAGCCTCAGGCAGGTGCATCTGTCCACACAGCAATCGGTGTGTGCTCCTGGGAGTAGAGAGCCACTCTTCTTTTAAAGGGGACCTAGCAGAAGATGTCATGGTGCTTTAGTCATGAAGTTAGTTATCAGAATAGTCTTTGAGGAAGTGGGACACCTGTGCTCTGAGCTCTTGTTTACGGGTTTTCACAAAGCCTGGGAGGGTACCCTATGGATTAGACAGTATGTTGGTCTGGACGGAAGGGGAGGAGCTGTGGTATAGGAAAGGTTATGTTTTTTTTTAGCAGGGATTAGAAGAGCACACAAGTGAGATCATACCTCTGTAGAGTTACAATTAAGAGAGTCATCTTCAGCAGGGAATCCTGGTTTCCAGTCATTGCTCTTTTAAGAGAAATAACTTTCATTCCTGGGTGCAGGCCAGAACCGAGCAATCGGCCTCCCAGGGAGAGCTCTCATCCCTGGGCTGAAGCATCATGCTTTCTCTTCTGTTTTGCAATATGCACCATTCCTGTGCATCTTCTTGAGAAGACTGTACAGTGAGATGGTTTGTGAGACCAGTGGTTCTGAGTCTCCAGGTCAGGGCAGGCATTGAACCAGTCTTCCAGATCCCAACTGATGATTCACCAGTGGAGTCTCATAAAAACAAAGGCCGTGGTATTTTGAAAAAGACTTTGGGCGTAGCAGTTGTGCAGAACATGGTAGCTGAGTGATGAACACTTCCAAATCATGTCTGTTGGTTCACACTAAGCAATGTACATGTTCTTGATCTCTGTAGGGCTTAGACAGGAGGCAGTCTTTACCTCCTCAAGTAGATTTTTGGCTGTATTCAGAAAAGGATTCTAGGGACCTGTGGAATTTGTGTTATCAAATACTTACATGACTGACAAGGAATGTAAAATGTTCCAGCTTTGGTTTCAGGAGCCTAAAGTCTCAGTTTAGGCAGTTTTGTTTATTTAGGTCCTTTTGTTGCTCTAGCCCTGGGTGTGCCCTTCTGCACACTGGAGTCAGTCTCAACATCCTTGCCACCTGGTGTACCTACTGCTGCCATCGATTTTAATTTTAACATGCATTGTGTCGTATTTGGTAGTACTCTGAAAGTCCTGGGTATAGCTGATTATGTATTAGCTTTAACTTAAAAAGTAAAGCACCTGCTTATTATGGTTATGGAAAAGGGTTGAGGTAGGCCTGACTGTTCTCTAAATGCTGAGTAGAAGACAAGTGGAACTTCAGAATAACATGTATGTGTACCAGTCTCATGATTGCTCAGGGATGACTTGTTTTTTCTCTGCCATTTGGGATTAGAAATAATTTGTCCAGGAGAATGTTTGAATCCAGTTTATTTGAATCTATAAAGATGCAGATGACAGTCTTTCCCACGCTTTCCTTATTTTTTAATCTGCTCTTCTTACAAAGCAGAATTACTTTGGTGAACCCCATAGCAGCACTTTTGTTAAAGTGGGATCGTGGTTCTCCTCTTTGTTCTGGTCAGTTTTTGGTTCCTATATGCCATATTCTGCACCTGCGTTGGAGTATATACCCATTGGTTAGGGGTTAATAGGGGCCCATACCCACGTGGTCACCTCTATCACTTTGTAATTTTGCCTTCTGTAACATTAACATTTACCACTCGCTCTCTTTTACAGCATTCCCTTCACTAAGACCCCTAGAAAACCTACTAATGCTAATTACTTGCAAATAGTAATTGTAATTTTAATGGCAACCTCGGTAAATTGCTTTTTATGTGCTGTAAGAAAATTGAAAACTTAGTGTCCATTTTGCTGTTTAATAAGAATCTCATAGAACAAGAAATAGTCTTTTTGCTCCTTCTGGCTAGTGGCAGCACGAATAAGAAGCTCCCAATATCCACTGAGAATCCCTTCTTGGGCACCATGGGGTTAACAGGAGTTGAGAAGACAGCCAAAGGCTCAGTAGGTGCAGAAATGGAATAGAAATGGAAATGCAAGGAAGATGAAAGAACAAGGTGAAGAGACTGTGAAAGAGGGTGAGGCATAAGGAACATCACACAGGGCAGAGGAAGCCCTGTTAAAACTTCAGAAACGTCTCTGGATAACGGACTGGAGCGTTTGGCTGGTCTCTCTCTGCTGTTGTATGGGAGCTCGAGTCCAGAGCTGTTGCAGCTTGTAACGATGCTGGGCCAGCGGGGTTCAGGAGGTAGCAAACACCAAAGCGGGAACACCTTATACTGTAATAGAAGGCCTGTTTTTTCAGCCGTAAAATTTACCAGAAAAACATCTCACCTTGCACGCCCACGTTGCACGTGGAGTAGAAGAGCCGTGAGCCGGTGATCCGTGCAGAGGTCAGTCAGTACCAGGGAGCCCGATAGTGCACAGCGAACTGCCCGGCAGGAGGGCGGCTTCGGGCAGCCTGACGTTATGGGTGCTGGGAGCTGCTGCTTTCCCACCAAGGCAGCAGCTCCTGGCTCTGGCTGTGTTCTGCCATGACTCTGCCTGCGCCGCATCAGGGTAGCGTCCAGAGCAGCGGAGCAGCTCGCAGCCCCCGGGGGCCTCCTGCCGCCGCCCGGTGGCCCCTGCCGTCAGGCAGCATCCCGGCGTTTGCAGATCTGCTCTGCGGGGCCGCTTGCCGCCGGTGGAACCACCGCCTCGCGCGCGGGCACGAGGCATCACGTGTCACCTGCCTGGAAGTAACTTACCTCGGAGCCCGCAGCGATGTGGCAGGCGCGGAGAGCAGCATGGTTTGGCGGAGATCTCCAGAGTGGGCCCAAGGCAAAGCGGACCTGGGAGAGAGGAAGCTCTGCGTGGGGAAAGGGCGGTGGGAAGGAATCGTTACTCGTCCCAGGCTGCTGCTCTGGCCGCCCTCAATCCATATCCAAGTGCCCCAAGAGAGGTGGGAACTGAAAAAGGATCTCCTTACACACACCTTTCCCAAAGGATAACGGCAGGAAAAGTAGCCTGGATTACATCCATTTGCTCTTAACGTAGTCAGTAGCTAGTAAGAGCCAAACTCCTGCCTGTCTTAATAATTTAAGCTTTGCAGAATAGAAGCTGGGTGAAATTTTGACCTTATGCATTACTGCTGTGTAAGTAAGCCTCAGAAACACTCTCAGTATCGTTAACTGTTTGTAGTTGTCGCAGGACTTAGGAATAACTATGTTGTACTTTCACAATAAAAATAAAGCATAAAATGTAAATTTTGCATTAAAACATGTTTTAAAAGCTTGGGAGAAGCTGACATTAATGAGAAGAGTTTTTGTAGACAGCCTCGTTTAATTCAAATCCAGTTGATGCATATCTCTTACGTGCTGTATGTTAGTCTTGGTTTTAAAAGGTAGAAAGAATTTGTATAATGTGATTATAAATATGCCGGAAACGATAGCTAGATACATGTGTATCAAAATAGAAAAAGCACGTGGCAAGTTACAGCCCAGAGTAGTTCTAGAAAGAAAAAACCAGCCACCAAAAGACCTGGTCGATGTTCAACGATGACATGTAAAGTAATGCAAGTCTTGGGTAGATATAAATTGTGTGAAAGATATGAATGAGCATAACTATTGTTTATGAAAAATTTGCACCTAATTCACATTTCATCCAAGATAACTTTCACGGCTGTTTGCGTGGTCAGTGAATTGGCTTGTGCTCTGTTTTTTAAAAAGATTGATTAACCTGTCCCTTTTGTTTTTTGAGGGGTTCATATTCACAGTGCTTTTTAATTCTGTATCAGCATTTACTACATTTTGGACCCATAATGGAAAACAGGTATATGATTATCAGCAAAGGGGTGCTTTATTACATCTTGGGCTTTCTTTTAAAGAATGCTTTATAATATATCATAGAGTACGCTGATGTCTCTTCGTATTGAAATGCCCCATTCAGAGCTCTTCGGTGGAATCTTGTTTTAAAGAGTGGAATTCAGCAGTTGACTCGCAGGCACAAATAACCATGTAATTACTCTGCAATCACATAGTAATTAGCATGCACTATTCATATATTGCATAATTATATGCCCTGCAGATTACATAGTAATTATATTTGTACTAAACATACAATTCTATATACTGTATAAAAAAACCCTTTGAGCGTTCATAGTTAAGCTTACAGTTGTATGCTAATGTCATACAACATTTGATATAAAAATGTTATGATTTTATGAGAGGGTTGCATTTTGGATATCTCATCTCTCCTGCATCTGGTGTTCCTTAAACTGTGGTAGTCTGCTATTATAAGAAATGCTTGGGTTTGTTAATTTATAGTCAAATGTTGCATGTTTATAATTTTGTAATTTGTGAAGATAAGGAGCAAAAAGTTGCAGTTTGTTGTGCAAGAAAATGGGATTGGGAAGGACTTGGAGTGTGAACGTTAAATGTACAGAGGATAAATGTACAAACGCACTGAACATAGTTACAGCATATCACTAGAGTGAAAAACAAATCTAATACGACTTAGGCATTGTGTTTTTCCTAGGTAAATTTACCTAGGAATAGGTAAATTATATGGTGTCGTGGCTTAACCCCAGCTGGCAACTAAGCCTCACGCAGCTGCTCGCTTACTCCCCACGGTGGGACAGGGGAGAGAATCAGAAGAGTAAAAGTGGGAAAACTCGTGGGTTGAGATAAAGACAGTAACAGGTATAGCAAAAGCCGCGCACGCAAGCAAAGAAAAACGAGGAATTCATTCCCCACTCCCCATGGGCAGGCGGGGGTTCAGCCATCCCCAGGGAAGCCGGGCTGCATCGCGGGTAACGGTTACTTGGGAAGACAAACGCTATCATTCTGAATGTCCTGTCCCCCCTTTCCTTCCTCTCCAAGCTTTATACGCTGAGCGTGACATCCTATGGTTTGGAATATCCCTTCGGCCAGTTGGGGTCAGCTGTCCCAGCTGTGTCCCCTCCCAGCCTCTTGTGCCCCCCCAGCCTGCTCGCTGGCAGGGTGGGGTGAGAAGCAGAAAAAGCCTTGGCTGTGTGTGAGCACTGCTCAGCAATATTGAAAATATCCCTGTGTTACCAATACTGTTTCCATCACAAATCCAAAATACAGCCCCATACTAGCTACTATGAAAAAAATTAACTCTATCCCACCCAAACCCAGCACACATGGGGTAGTAGCAGGTGATATATTTGTATAATGTCAGGTGTGTGCTAGCACTAAGGCCTGTCTTGTGCAGTCAGTTCAGGCAACTGCAGTACCTCGGTGCACCATGTCAGCCAAGCTGCATCATCTTTTCCTGCCATGGGTAAAGATAAAAGGTTGGTGTCCTGATCTGGGAATGGGAGGCAAAGTGGTAGGAGAACAGAGAAGAGTGGCACTTAGTGGTAGAAGGGGCTTGGGCTGAGTTTTTAAGAAAAGATGGAATATCTAGAAGAAAAGGTTTTTTTAAGAAGAACTTAGAGCTTTAGATCATTTGAGATGTTTTATCTTTGGTCAACCCTGCTAAGAGGTTGCTGCAGAGTTTTAGATATTTGCAAAATATCTTCTGTTCAGCTTGCAAATTCTGTAGCAATGTTAATGTATTTTCTTGGATCTGTGATGTTGGCATTCCTAATATCCAGAGCAGCATTACAATTATTCTTAACTGAGTATTGCATTCTAATGCCAGCTGCCTTCATTTTCAAGCAAAGCATATATTGGGTTTTAATGTCTGGATAATGTATTGCAAAATTAAATGTGTAATTATATTGTTAACTTTTATCTGAGTTACTTCCTGTAGTGTGTGCCTGTGCGCGAGAGAGACATACTCCTTTCTTTCACAGCAACTTGTTAATTTTACGTCAGCTGTTTCAAAGCTTGTAATCTTCATAAAACTTCCAGGTTCAGGTGGCATCTATAGATCTTAAAACAATGTCTTTCACAAAGCGTGGAGCTTACAGGCCTTGTGGGTGGCCTTAGAGAGCTCGCAGTCGTGGGGCTGCACCTGCTTTCCTTTCTGCCTGGGTGGGCTGTTTTCATACCTCAAAAACTGCAGTAATAGGCATGTGGCTTCTCCATTCTGCAGAGTACACAAATTGCATTTAAATGTTGTTACCCGGTGTAGACACTGAATGTCATTTATATTGTTCAAGGGAAAAATAAAAAATGTCAGAGCTTTACAAAAGCAGAGTTCTCACCGTGTTCTTGTGCAATGGGCCAAATGTATCCCTTCCAATTTACCAGCAATTTTAATAATTTTTTAGTGAGACTGAGTCTTACCCAATATTCATCCTGTATGTCTGCTACAAAGAAGATGACGTGCAGCCTGCCTGGTGTAATTGTCATTTATTTTCCAGCATTCTGACCTTAACGCATGCCTGTGCTCTTGTTCACTGTGTTAAACCATTACCCTAGGTATCATAAGGACCGGTCGCAGTTTCTGGCACTGAAAGTTTTGTATGTAATAAATATATAATCAGGATCTCATTAACAGTGAAATAAACACAAACATCAAAACTCAATATAAATGTGACACATTTCTTACTGCTGTTGTGTTGTTTTTTCTAGTGGAGCCAGTACTTTCAAAGGGGAACAATTGCTTGGATGCAGCAAAAGCTTGTAACCTAAATGATACCTGCAAGAGGTTCAGATCTGCTTACATAACCCCCTGCACCAGCAGCACGTCTAATGAAATCTGTAACAAGCGGAAGTGTCATAAGGCCCTCCGGCTATTTTTTGACAAAGTTCCCCCAAAGCACAGCTACGGGATGCTCTTCTGCTCCTGTCGAGACGTAGCCTGTACAGAAAGGAGACGGCAGACTATTGTTCCTGTGTGTTCATATGAGGACAGGGAGAAACCAAACTGCCTGAATTTACAAGAATCCTGCAAGAAGAATTACATCTGCAGGTAAGATAGCACATGGCAGGGGAGTGATTAATGAGGTACCAGAGAGAACTTTTTGGTACTGCTGGATTTGCCAGGACTAAGGGTCAGAATATCCACTAAGGAAAAGGATGAGTCAGGGAGAAAGCAAATGCCTCTGACATCCTTAACAGAGTTAACTAAAGCCTGCATCTGGTTGCAGTGTGTGCCTTCTCCACAACTATTCACAGCTACTCCCTCGCATTACGGAGGAATCTTTAAACCCCCAGTTTAATTTTCACAGATTTTTGTTGGAAACATTTTTGTTAGGTATCTCTATGAAATGATGTCTTAGAATGATTTTGATGTCCCATTAGTGACCAGGTGAAAATAGAATTATTCATTATAATGGGATTTATTTTCATTTTAGTCTTATGTGTGAGCACTAGTAACTGTGAATACAAGCTACATGTTGGACTTTATGGTCACAATACACAGACTACTTGTGGGCTTTTTCTTCATGGAAAGAAAAGGAGTCCACATTTTTAGACTAGATCCCACTATTTTCTTAGAGCTGTTTTAGACTTGGAATTGTTTTATCCCCACTCCCCTGACAAAAGCGCTGGGCTGATACAACTGGAGGGTCATTGATTCACTGACCGAATTCCCAGCCTCCTTCCTCTGCGTGTTCAGCCCGGAGAGGCAGTGCAGAGTGCTGCTCCACAGGACAAACCGGGTCCTTTCGCCCTTGGCGAGTTCCCTGCAGGCTGTCACACAGCGAGGGCATGCGGGATCTCCTCTGCCCTTAGGAAATGCTTTACTCCTACTTAGCATTGTGTATGTTTATATTAGAACATTGTTGTGCTAATGTTATGTTTATGAAGTTATGCCCAAGAATCTTGCTCATTGCTAATGTGTAAATTCTGTGTAGATTATCCAGTTCTGTGAATTAGTGAGTAAGGAAATAAACACTGTTGTAAAATGTCAAGGATGCTGGAGATGATACAAATCTTAGTAAGTGCTTACATATGCCTGGTATACTTTTAAGTTTCTGTGAGATCTCCACTGATGATCTTAAACATTTAGCCATACACCTCAGATGTGCCCAAGTGTTGTTCACAGGCGAGGAGGCGAGCGGTGCCCTGCCCTTGATGGCTCAGGGGGAGTCTAGAGCCACTTTTCCTGCTG